TGCCCCCGCACAACTTATGCTGATCTTGACAAATCGGACTACGAGTAATGCCATCTGATTTACTCTACTGTGTGTAACTAAAAAATAACATGATAATATTTGTCAGTTCGAAGAACTGAACTGTAAGTGATAAAGCACAGTTTGTGCATAACTTGATCATTTATAGTATAAAACAGAATAACAAGTGCATAAATGAAATAACGATTATTCATAAACCGTAAAATCTATATCTATAGTTAATAAATTACATGAAAGTTTTCAATTAAAACTGTATAAATCATAAATCAAATAGTCGATACATAAACCTTTCCCAGTCATTCAGCCGTATCTAATTATATTATTAAGCATTAAACACCATAATTTTGAGATTTTCACTAAATCAATCAACATTGTCCAGGTCTTTTAATAAAACGCCATGTTTCCTCTAAAAAATTTCAGTTCTGCAAATAAGTAAATATTTTCTGATGTTCGTCTTTAGCAAATGATTGATCATTGGATAGTGATCAATGTCATGTATGTCAAGTCCTCCTCAGTGCAAATCGAATGCTATCGACCAAGTTGCAATGTGGCCACTAGTCTAGGTGACTCGACATTGCGTGGACTATGTAGAAATAAAATTGTGGTTGGAAGTAGTCGATAGGATTCGATAAGTTTCGTGCTACTTGGCACTCGTTAGTATGGTGTACCTGTAATGTTGAAGGAACTGATGCTCTTTAATGGATTCAATCCCGTGTCACTCAGCTTCATAGTCAGAGACGTTACCACTGACCTATCCAGGCAGCGACTGACCTCCAGTAAGAATGGGATATGTTTACAATTGATTTACTAGTGAAGTGTACGGTGTAAGTTGTATCTTCTTACTGGGAACTTCATACACTATTCAAGCACACCACTCTTATGTACTTAACATAACAAGAAGTTTAAAGTTTGGATAGAAAATAAATAAATGGAAAGTCATTTTCATCTTTCAATGAGAAAGAAGACAATATCGAATTTGTGGTGACATGTAAATAATATGATTAGTCAAAAGAAATATCTCTTTACAATTGAATCCCGTGATGAATTCAAAATAAACCAAGAATAATTTGATTCAGTCAGCTTAATGTTACAATTAGTAATGTTCATATGAGTAAGGTTCTACATAACTTAGTCGGAGACGTTGACTTTAAAATGGCGGGAAAATATATAAAAAGTACGGATATGATACGAAATATTTAACATAATAGTTAAGATTCATAAGTATATATTTCAGCATAAAGATATTGTGGAAATAGTCAAATTTCCTTGATTAAATCATGATTGTAAACTAGTACGGAACTCCTCAGTAGTGCGCACCCGTGGCCATGTCACTTGGGAACGGCTCAATGGTCTCCAAGTTAAACGTTCATGTGTGAAGGTTTTGAGTATTCATTTACTGATAATGAAGTCATTTTGAGAAGAAGGTGATACTATAAATCTTAATTAAGAGACAAAATGAAGAAAAAAATTGATAAATTAGTGATTGCGTAATCGGGCAACATACCTCATATGAAATTAAAATTAACACCAATGGAATGCTAAGAATACAAAAGAAAACGAAGAGATTATGCAATAGACGACTTTATAACACTATAATTATTCTATTGTGTAAATGATAGAGTTACCACACTTTCTTTTTGTGTACAAAATCAGGTCGATAGCTCATTATGGGAATGGCACTTATAAAGTGGAGACAAAAATGAATTTATTTGCTTGTTGATTATTTTGAACGTTATGTGATACCCAACTTATGTCTACTCTTCACTAGGTGTCTAGTGAACATATTTGTGTAGATTTCTCTTTTAAACACAAGTTTAACCGTTGTTTGTAACTTTAGTATGCCTTTATCTGATGAGCAGTCTCAAAATATAGTAAATTCATTTTATTCGAGAAATCTTGTTGTTCTTGATTTGTTTAAAAATACCCCTGTGTCAGTAGTCCTGACTGATTTATGGAGCACTATGAGAGCTTGTATTGATCAGAGATTTGCTCTTCATTATGCTATGAGACACAGACAAAGAGAATATAGTTGAACAGATAAGTTATTTCTCTAGGTTGTGACATCTAGCAACATTTATAACTTTGTTTCAAATAGTAGATTACTAATTAAGAAGTTCCCATCATATTAAAAAATAATTTGTGACACAAAATCAGTCAAATTTCCAATAGACTATCACATGTGTAAATACAAACACAATTGTACAATTATTGTAAATTTGGAATGGAACTTGTCTTCTCTGAGGTCTTTATTTCTCATTCAATGACACGATGAATTTCTTCGACTGTTCCGGTGAAGTTTATTTGTGTTTGTAATCATTTGAACGAGAGTATAACGTCACGAGCATATCATGAAAACTCCTCCCTAATCTAATGAGATGTGACTCACTCATGTGCAAACCATCTGTGCTTTCAATGAACCAACGACCTTGTGTTTACATTTATGATAACTTTAGTAGTGTGGTAGATCATAATGAGAGTTGTTTCGAACTTTTTCAACCCAAGGATATGATACTGGCTTCTGAATATCAGGTTGATGTGGAGGTACTTTTACGACGTTACGACCCTGGTTGGTACATACGTACAAAATTTCCCTTCATTTATGAATCCAAACAAACATCTATTTTATACTAGTTTTATTAAACAACTTCATTTTATCTTTGATAACATCGTTTGAATGAATCCCACCGTTTGAATCAAATGTTAATTTACTCAGTTATGAATAAGTATTTTACTTTACGCATTTGATATTTAAATGATATTTTCTAATTTTGTAGTATAAAAGTTATCGATAAAAGAATTAACTTCATACCAGTTGACCGCAAAACATATATCTTCTGATATTTTCACTCCCAAATTAGTTGGAGTGCATTTCGTGTAGATTTACGGCGACTTAACCTATGCTCCACTATGATAACTGATGAATATTATTTCGTAGTTAAATTCACGAACTGGTCTTATCTAGACTACCTATGAAAACCATGATAGCTAATTCGTCCTAGAACGGAACTTTTCGGTAGTGTGGTTTCATGACCTCACCTCAGAGAATCGAACACTTAACCAATGGATCACTGAGCCAGCATCCAGGGATGTACGTGTCCAACTTCAGTAAATTCACAAAGTTATATGATCTTCTCCGATCAATTGCAGTGGAAAACTCTCTAACGGTTGACATGATTGAACTCAACTTGTTATGGCTTCTTAATAAAACTTAAGCAATTGTTTCTTGAAGCTAGTCACTGATAAAAATATGATTATTATCAGTATTGGACTGCGTGGATATTGAGGAATTATCATTGTTTAACCCATAACTCCTAAAATCTCCATAAAACCACATACCGACAATATTATTTCTACTGGCATCATTATTAATTAGTGATTTTTGCATTTTTTTTTCCTTCCGAATACACAAATCCCTATGCTTTTCATTCACGGTATATATAAATTATCCAATAAGAAGCTGAAACGTTACGTATCAAGGGGATATTACATTATACAAATTTATTTCCGTTAAGAATATTAATACTATCGATAAACCGATTTCTCACCCCGTATTCATTAGGTAATAATATTTATTAAGTTAACCAATCATAAACATGCTATTATGTCTAGCTTTAACCAATTAGTAATAAGATACGCTAAATATCATGACTAGGAATTTTTCCCAGTTGATATATTACATAAGGGATAATTCAAACCTACATAAAACTTAAAAGTGGATTAAATATGATTTACACATTTTATGATGTTCAGTATACACTATAAAGTTTATGTTGTTTCTTACCTAGCAACTTGATTGATATCTATTATAGGTAAGCGTATACTTGAAATTATTAATCATATTACGAATGCTTACTGTATAAATTATCATTAAAATATTGAATAGAATGATAAAAATGGAAGAACAAAAATCTTCCGAAGAACTTTACAGATCTAAAGATAATAGTGAGTATGAAGAAGAAGTGGAAGAGAAAAGTATGTTATAAACCAAAGATTGATACATTGTAAAATCATATACAGTCTTCTTTTACAAGTTTACCTTCTACATACCAGAAACGAAAAAAATCCCTAATAAACTCAATGTTTGTATGGTTTGTCTAAGATTAATAATAATTCACTGATATATCAAGGGAGAATATTCTTTTTAGTAAATCCATTTATATATCATTTATATATTCATTTATATATCTAAATGTTCAAGGAAATAGCCAAACTTAAGGGAGATACATTATTTTGAAATTATAGCATATGAATTTAGAGCCGTTAGTAAAATTAGATTGTTAATATTGGAATGTATACAGTTTATAGGTCTATAAAAATTGTGAGATGAATAATCAGAATTACAAATCAGATCAAATGTCCGGTCACAGATTACGTAATGTTTATGACTTCAGTAAGAAACAATAACATGATGGAAATGCTAATTAAATTATGAATAATTATAATACTAACATACAATAATATCTGAATGAAATTCATTTACGCTATGTAAATTCATATGTGAAGGATCTATGTACATACTATGATGAAGATAGATATTATCATATTGATCATGACCTTCGCCAGGGTGAAAAAAAAGCTCCTGAATAGATTCAGAACTTTAGAACTTGAGTAGAACTTGTTTTAAAAATATATATAGCAGAAATATGGATTATTGATGTACAGGTCACTGCTCTAAAAGAGTAGTGTTCACTTTAAGGCTCGAAGATTCTAAATTGGATCACACATGAACTTGTAGGGGTACACTGTTGATAAGTCAGAAATTATTATGAACTAACTGTATTAATACTTATTGACTTTTTTGTGTGTTCCCTTGGTCATGATAGTATGTGTATTGAAAAAATCTTCATACATCCTGTAAGTCTGTATAAACCGCTACTTAACTAAACTCAATTCTTTCTTTCTTTTAGTGATAATTATATTACTTGATACCAAGTTATAATGATTCAACTTAATGATTCCCCTTAATGTTATTATTTAATTCACTCTACTGTTCTGAGGAAAACATTTGCATGTGCTTGTGTATTAGCATTTAAATTTTATTGACCTATTTTCAGAGTATATACAAGTCTAATAATCACAGATTATCGTTAAATCCTTCCTGACGAAGATGAGTTTGGTTCCATTTAAACTGATAATGACGTGATGATGCACATAAAATCACACGTATGAAGGTGATTCCGTTTAGTTTGTTACTTTAATATATGGTAGTTTCGAAAATGTATCAATTATACTAATGATGTAATTCAAATGAAATACTTATTCAAATTTCATATACAATTATTCCGTGGTTAATAACAGATTTTGTTTATTGGATGGCAGTTATTTTGAGTTCCACATGTTCTTCAATTGTACGAACGTGAAAGAAAATTGTTATGTACTTGTTTTTGAGGTTCAGGTTCTCTACATGAACAGATTATAATATTCAACTTTGTAAGTCAATTCTGTAACCCGGTTCACTAAGACGTCTGATTAAATTATACTGTCCAAACCATCAGTTATCCCTAAAAATAGGAACTTCTTAGTGTACACCTCCCTTAGTACCAAGTGAATTCGACCAACAATTCACCATATTCTCACGAATTAATTATTTAGAAATTAGATTCCGAAATACTCATAAGAGTTTGTATTTTTTGAAGATCAAACATGTTGAAAGTGAAATGAATTTTAATGAGTATTACATTATATCATGAATTCATTGAAGCTTGAAATTCGAACACTCCAATTCCACCTCTAAAAATAATTTAAATGACTACAAGAGTTAAAGATTCTAACCTTAGTCTTTGTTCCCTTCATAGATGTACACCACTGTTAAGTAAGAAATTAGGAAGAAACAGTTAACTAATTCTGTCTGGTATTTAATTCTTCTTCAGTTGATTTCAGTTTATGATGAGTTCATGGATTTGGAAATGATTTTTATAGAAAAAGACACCAATATCAATTACTCAGTGATCAGACTTAAATCAAATGCTTCTCAGAGTATTTAACAACTGAAATGTAATCAAGATCTGGCTATAATTCAGTAATTAAGTTCCATGTATTTATCACTAAAATCAAAAGTTAACATTTATACTATATATTAATGAAATTTGTTTATATAGCTTCATCACAGGCTAATCATTTAAAATATGCGGATACTAAAAAGCAATTTTACTGTATTTTATAATGACTGACGATTAAAAATAATATTTCTGCTATTATTCAGCTTATATCATCTTGAATAGTCATAAAAATATTCTATTACCTCTATTACCTCATAAAGGTAACTCAGTAATTGGATACTTCAGAATCAATTAGAAATAGTAAAAAAAACGTTCGTATGATTTTGAGATGGTGGAGAAAATCTGTAGCTCAGTTGGATGGTTTTGATGTAGTTTTGTTCTCTGAACTGGATGGTTTCATCCTGGAGCTTTCATCGTTCTTCTGAACGACATCATCAGCACAAACCATCCAGCTCGAAGGACAAAACTTTATCAAAAAACTTTAGCTGACTGTCTGGATACCAGCAATGTCAAATTCACGGAGAACTAGGATTTTATGATTTCTTCCACGACAAACATATTGAAGTTTTTCCAATTTGATCACCTAGTTCAATAAACAAAAGGTCGATAAAAGTATACACATGAATTGCGAATCTTCTCCATCATTGTTTTTAAAAACATTAGCAAATTCTTTAAAAGATTTAATATTCAATTAAAAAATAAGTATCAGAAGAGGTTTTCGTGGATATTATAGTAATCCCAATAGTTGAGATCATGAATTAATTGGAGCTAGACCACCATGGAAAACCTGGAAGCACTGGACGGCCGTTTCGCCCTATTATGGGTCTCCGTAGTGATGCGCATCCATGACCCCGCCTCACGAGATTATGATGAATAATTTATCATTCTTCTTAAAATTAACAAATAGTTGACTAACGAGGCTAACTAAAGTGAATCAACTAGTCGTCGGATGAATTTAAAAAGAAGTGTGTGAACAAACAAACAAAACAGTTACCTTCGAATGCTTCTTGCAAGTACTGATTATCTCAAGTTAAATGCGGTTTATATTATTTCTTTTCATGATGGAAATAAAACAGTTTTTCAATGATTATTATAGAATGGACACTTTATAGTCATTTATATGAATTCTATAGAAAATCCTTATGTATTTCATGATATAAGTATCCTTTTGTGAGTAATGTCCTTTACTGAATTGAATAACTGTTTTGTTTTAATTCAGAAGTATTCAACAATCATACATGAAGTTTATTCTTAAATCTTATGACTTTTCGGTTGTACTATTCTATTAATCCACATTACCGGCTTTCAGTGGATTGAATAATAAATTTCGGTTATTAACTTATAGTATAATGGTGAATTACCTTATTCCTGAATCAATCGCTCTACTATACGATGTATACAAAGTATTAATACTTTGTGAACAAATGATATTATATTTAATTTTTATAAGTCATTACATATCTCATAATGTAAAATGAATGAGTGAATTATCTGATCAGTCAACTGGATTGATGAAAGACTACTGAGTGAGAAATATTTACAAAGAAAAAAGTCAACTTAATGATGCAATGAATCTAACTGAACATATACTTCAAAACAAAATGACTAATCAGTAAATTTGTATATGATTAGTAGACTTAGTTGTATGGAAAACAAACAATCATTATTAGTTGATAAACATGAGTGAATGAATATCAGTGAATTCATTAGTCATTTCTCGTTTTTATTATCAGAATAAGGTTTGTGGAGATTGTAGAACTTGTAATAGTTGAGTTTGTGAGTCGATGTAGGCCAAATCACTATTGAAATCCTGAAAGCACTGGACAACCATTTCGTCATAGTATGAGACTACTCAGAAGTGCTCATTCACGATCCCACATGAAAGGTTTGAACACATGACTTTCGTTCTCGTACGCGAACGCCTGACCTCTAGCGGTGTTGGTGTGTAACTCCAATCGATCCATGATCTTGTGCAACCCTTCATCCATTGTCTTAGGTTGATAACTGTCTCACACCCGACAAAGATTGGATTCCACTGGCCACGGTGTATAAACTAAAGACTTATGTGTTATGAAAATTTGTTTTTCTCTAGTTTAAATAAAAAATAAAATTTCAATAGGCTTTTATAAATTATCTTAGAAGTACTTCAAAAATGGTTGTATTGAAACTCCATCAATTTTTATATGCCCTTCACTTAACTAAATTATTTCAAATCTATATGTCGGTCGCACAACTTTTAGTTATATGCACAAGTTTACATGAACTTATAAAAATGTATATTATCAACGAATCAATAAGGAAAAGATTTATTCTGTAGTTGTAGAATACGTATTCTCGAAACTGAACATTTGAAAGTGTTAAATCGTTGGAAATATTCGGAAACAAACTCTAGAACTAGGTTTCTTATTAGCGCATACTTGTCAAAAAGCCTTACCTACAATCTCGAAGGAAATTGATTTTTCCAGTTAACATGGATTCACGTCACTTAGTTATGCAATCGGAAACCACCACTGAGCTAGTCAGGTAGTAACTAATCTCCTGCAGGATTGAGATACTTACAAGTAACTGATATAAGAGAATTCAACGGGTTTCAAAATGCTAACACCAAACGCTAAATGGATATGATATGTGTAATTGATTGCAACAAAGTTTTCTGCCTTATTAATACATAATATACAATAAGTCTACCCCCAACGATTGTAAAAATCGTCAGTATGAAACACATATCAGTTGACCTGTGTACGAAAAAAGATTATGAACGCTAATGGTTTTATAATAATTTGTACAATACAGAAAAGTGTTTTGCGTCATAAACTCTTCAATACTTACTGTAAATTAGTAACTACTTTACTTATTAATTTCTTAATATATCTCTTAGTTACCGACATAGAAACAGCACTCACTTAATATTCTAGATACTAAGAGTATTACTTCCACAACTTTTCTTCCATGAATTATTGTATTTTTATGGAGATTAAGATCGTTTTATTCGTTATTTTGAATTCCAGCTTCATATATTTCTTTTAAACTTAAAGAGTGGGAAGCTAAACATTTTTAGAATGAAATTTCACGTTAAATAATTAAAAGTATCATTCATGTAACTGATACACTGAAATTTCTCTACGATTTCAAGCGCCTTTTGTAATTGAAGTATAATGAATTTATTTTATGACATAAATCAAAATGGCTTTACCTTAAATAAGATGGTGGTTAGAGGTAGTCGATAGGAAACCCTGGACATAGGTTTCGTGCCACTTGGCACTCGTCATTATGGAGTACCTGTAATCTTGAGGGAACTGATGCTCCCTGATGGATTCAACCCGGTGTCACCCAGCTTCATATTCAGAGACGTTACTAGTGATCTATCCGGGCAGCGACTGAACTCCTGTAGGAGTGAGATGTATTTACAATTGGTTAGGTGGTGATCAATGTCATGTATTGCAGGTCCTTCTTAGTGCGGATCGAACCCTATCGACTAAATTGCAATGTGGCCACTAGTCTAAGTGAATCAACATTGTGTGCGTGGCATTACCTTTTTCAGTATAATTAGGAGACTTGAATGTTAAAAATCAACACTATGCTTATTACTAAGTAATCTAAATATCTAGATAACAATTATGAAGTTTATTCAAATGTTAATGATTTGAACTTTAAAGAATCACGGTAAATTTTAATGCCATAAGACAACATTGTTTTTATTGAATCAATTCATTTTACTGTTTACTAAATACTACCATGTAGTAAGAGGAATTTTTGACATGTAACTTGCTAACGGGTTTACATAATACCTAGACATTCCACTTGCTTAGGACGTAACACTGGTATATTTTAATAGTTTTCAATTAAAGTATCTTGAGAGAAAACCATGTTTGGATTTATTTGTTGCATATAATAGGGGGCAATTAATGAGGTTAAACATATTCAACGGCTACATGAAATTTCATGTTAACTTAAAAAGAATTAAATAAATACATGATCATTATTGAATTGATAAAGATATGACATGAAGTTAGGTTATCAATAACTATTGGTTCATATACATTGGGCTACAAATCTTGAACTTTTGTTTACTTTCTTTTATAATTATTCTCAACCTATGTGCGTATTTTCCAATTTTCATACTAGTACCCGTTTACTATTGTTATCCATTTCTGTACGTCGTATTAAGAAGTATAGGAACTGAAAGAATTATATTTTAGTAAGTTATCTTACTCCTGACTAATTGTCTATCTTTATGTCTCCGATCTCCTAAATTCATTCTCTATTGCTCAGATCATATAGAATACTGAATTTCATCAGTTACCTAATTATGTATAACTTTATATGATTCATTCTTACTTACTAATAGTTCAACCAATGTCATACTATTTTTATCATTAATGTTCAGGTATCCAGAGATTCGAACATAAAATTACTACCTATTAAGATAAT